TGAAATGCTCACGCACCGCAATAAATGATATGGAAAACAAGAAAAAAAAAAAAAACCAACATAGGTGATGCTCGAAAAAAAATAAGAAAAAAAAAAAAAAACAATATAGGTGATGCTCGAAAAAAAAAAGGCCGTCAACGTGACCGCAGTGCCAGCAGATCGCCGTCGCATCAATGCCATGATCTAAAGTAGCGCTAATAAACCCCGTCATCCCGGATGCGGAAAGAAAAATCAATCCGCCGCTTTGCATGTTTATTTCCCTAACTGTTGCTGAGCAACCAATGAGTGATGTTGTCGTGCACGAGCTGAACCGCACAGCGGCTTTATTATATGAATACTATTCTTTTAAAAGAAAACAAGGCTTCCACGGGTCGCAGTCGCAGGCGAGATCAAGTGCTTCCACGGGAGGGTGTGGAGGACGTCGCCCCTGGTGCGCTTGCTGTCTTCATGAACGCTTGGGCGATGAGGGCCACAGCTCCAAAGAGCTCGGTTCCGTTGGCCGCAATGGTGCTGTTCATCTTGTCCATCACACCAACAATCATCGTCGTGTTCTCCTTCTGTGCCTCCCTGACGCTTGAGAAGGCCGAAGCGGTCGCCTTGCCGTGATCCCTCACAGCATCTGTCATGTCCGCGGTGCGCTCATTGTGTCTTCCGACGCTTGCACGAACCTTCACACCCTGTCGCCACACCAGGATCGTCAGCCGGGGCGTCCACCATCTCAGGGGGGGGCACGAAGCGGACGCCGCTGTCGCTCAGATTTGTCGGGTTGACAGTCAGATCTTTCTCGTAGAAGGTGTACATGAGATCGTAAACGGCGGGTTTCATGCAGAATTCGAGCTTCTTCAGCTTCCTCACTTTCGTAGTCATCGTGAAGTAATCCTCGGCTCCAGACTTCTGATGGTAGTCTCACCCGCCGCATATGCGACATAAGAGTGTCCCACTTTTGGGAACAGGCGTCCTGCTCCTTCACAACCCCCCTCTCCGCCATCAACACAGTTACCTTCGACCACACAGTATCCTTCGACGCTTGACGGAGCTGCGGCCATGCGACTCCTCCAAATCGTAGTCGATCTTGCATCTTACCAACACCAACTGCTCCTCCACATTCCACACCACGCGCGGTTGTGCCCCGGATTGCGCACCCACAGCACCCCCTTCCGGCGCAGCTGCAGGCACCTCTTCTTGCGCACCCACACCTCCTCCATCCACGTCAGTTCCGTCATCATCCCCATCTGCTTCTGACCCCACTGCCGCCTTTCCATTTCCAATTCCACCAGCATTCTTGTCATTCGTACGCTTGCCGCCTTTCCTTTCTGCGGTGTGTGAGCGAGAGACTTCTTGCTGCCGCTGCCACCATCGTCCGTGCTGGACACATTCCCAGGAGATATCGTGGGCGATGGTGATCCAGCAACGCTGTTCGGCAATGAATCTCGAAACGGAGTTGGCGTCATCGGCCCACTCACCGCAGGAGGAGT